TTATTTGGACCCACCTTATTTCTCTGAACCAATCATTTTTCCTTCTGCCTTCAGAACATTTTCGTGTAAGTAAAATTGCCACGAGCTGCCTACACATCTGTAAGTAAACATGCATCATGCAGTAACGTGTCACACCAGTGGCGTCCCTCAAATCTTCTCTGCTGAACTGGGTTATGGTTATGGAAGGTTATGGAAATGCATGCACTTTGCATTAAATGATTCATTACGCCTTTTTGTTTCTATAATGTTTTTATTATAAACACAGAGGTTTTTTAAAACATGAAAGTATTGTACAATATAAAAAAGTATCAATAATTCCACTTTATCAAACATAATGCTATACTGAACAGAATTTAAAACAAATAAATAAAATGCTGCACACTGGTGCTTGACTGTGACAGCCTGACAAGGAAGGAAATATTGAAATGAATCAATTTAGGCAAAGATATGCTCTAGTAAGTGTGTATACACCAGTTATATATACATCTTTATTCTGTGGACAGCTTACTTACAAGCAGATTAAGTGTCCAATTCCTTATTATTCCAGCTGAGTCGTTTTCATTTTAGTGTTTTCAACTTTAATTGTTAAAAGATGTGACAAACAGCTCAGCTTCGAAAGCCATTTGCAGATTTAAAAGAATAAGGGTCGAGTAGCATACTTACTGAGAAAAGACACTACACTTTCCTTCAGCTTTCTGCTGTAATGGCTTTAAACAGTGAACAGTTTTCAAAAAGGTACTAGGGTTACTACTGTTTTTTTTTCCTAAATGAGAATCGTAGTAAATTTGCAGTAATGGGAATTATGCAATAGGCCAAACTTTTAGTCTAACCCCAACCAGATCCCTGAGGACTGACGTGAGTGAACGCCATATTATTTTCCTTTGCTAGTATAAGCCAGCAGGTGGTGTAATACTTAAGGAACTGGTCTTGTGACCAGAAGGTGCATTACATTTGCTCTTCTTTAAATACACAGCTATGTCAGTGCTGAAGCCTCAGACAGGAACATACTTATGTCACAGAGAAACATCTAAGTAATTATAATGTAGGTGTAACAGGCTTACATATGTATACATATGAAAAATAGATGCTACGCTCAGATATTTCTGCATCTTAATCGTCGCCTGAAAATCACTATCTTCCTGAAGCTCTCATTCAGTGCAAGCTTATCCGAACCCAGTTAGAACAAAACCACGCCCATGCCCCTATGATGTCATGAAAGCACCGCCCCTGTTCCCACGATTCATTGCGCTTGGGAGAAATGAAGCGGTGTGGACATTTACAATATGTTATTGCATTAATGTATTCGCATTCGGTGATCGAGCTGCAGACAAGAGAGAAAACCTCTTGCTTAAAAAAACAAAAGTTTAAAAAATACACGGTGTGGACATTTATTTATGAAATACGTTATTACATTAATGTATTCATATTCGGTGATCGAGCTGTAAATTAAAGCGTAAAACGTTTGCCTGAAATTGAATTTCATTCGGCATCTCCTAAATATGTTACTGTGCTCATGTATTCCTATTCAGTGACTGAGCTCTGAGAAAGATGTAGGAAAAATTATTGTTAAAAAAAAGTACGTTTAACATTGCAGTCTCATTACAATCAGCCTGTTACAATCACGTTAAATGTATTAGACTGCTAAAAGACAAATGACATTGAAAAAGAAAGTATACTTTACTAAAACCTTAAAATTAAGACAATAAATATAGGACATAGATGATAGTAACAAGCAATAGTGCAATTCAAACTCGTACGATCCGATACGAAACGGTTTGAGTTTCGCGCGTTTACACCCCGAAGGTATGTATCTTGTGAGGGGGGTGGGGGTTCTTTCATGATGTCATACGGGCACGTGTGTGATTTTGCCCCAATCGGGTTCGGAAGAGCAGAGATGCACACTTGGTGGTTAGGCTGCTCATACATTTAGAGTATAAGCTGAGAACCACTGATGGCACCGTAGCTACTGGTGCATGGATGCAGCTTTGGAGCCCAAACGCAGATAGTGACACAGTGTGGGACAGTGGATGGATGTTCTGCACTGTGGCGGGAAGAGCAGAGAGGGCTGAGCTCCGCTTTAGCCCGGTGGGCTACCAGCGAGGCGGAACGGGGCGTGTCCGGGCCGGGGTGTGTCACGGGTGCGTCAGTGGAGGGTTAAGTACCTGACGAGGCTGGGGTCAGGGTTATACGGAGGGGGGGGGGTGCAGTGCGAGGCGGACGCCATAGTCTGGGCGGAGTGGCCCCCGTTCATGTCGCCGTTGGCCTGCATGTGATGGCTGTTCAGCATGTTGGAACCTGAGCGGGATAGAAACGCAGGAGCGGTCAGGGGTCGGTGACATTCCTGCGTGGCTTAGAAGGTGGCGGCTTTGGCGGGAAGAGCAGCGGTGCGTAGGACACATAGTATCAAAGCGCGGGAATCGAAGCTCACGCTCAGGTGGGAATGGGAACATGCAAATGATGTGTGATAGGACAAAACGTGTATGCCGCTGGTCTGCGTCACCAACCCGGCACGGCTGGACACAGAAGTCACATCTCATTATTTTTGGTTAAAGGCAGCTTGATGCTTGGTTCTGAGAGTCCCTTCTCTCCCTTAGTGTGGATCTGAGGGCTCAGAATCACTGACCAGCACAAAAGTGCTATCTGGATAATACTAAGTAGCATCCATTAATAAACCACCACCAGCGTCTGTAGCTTCTCCTTCCTTTGGTTACTCTAATCCACACAGTTGGTCAACTCGATTTTTTTTTTTTTAGATCAGACCACTAATGACGTAAAGTCAGGCTTCCTCATCATATGGTACAGTATCGGGAACCTAAACTCGCTCAGTCCTCATGATGTAATCCAATGAAAAACTTCCATTACATTTCCACAGCAGGTTTTGGGAAAATTAATTCTGTTGTGGATTTTTGTTCTTCAGTTGGTCAGTGCCAACTGTCTGAGCTGTTGTCACTGCATGGTTTGTGAATAAATGGCAGAGTTTGCCCCACAGTCCACTTAACAGCCTCTTCACCCATAATATAACAGTCCAGAGCAGGCTGCTCGGTTAAAATAATAACATAGTAACAAACTTAACCGATGACGAGGTGAAACGACTGGTTTGTTAGCTGCACATCAAGGCAAAGAAATGACGAGTACATTTTCAGAAGAAAGGGCAAAAATTTGTACCTTTGCTTATCACTGGGGCTGTACCCTTGAGGTTCTGCCAACTGTACCCTTAGCTGTAGGTAACTGTACCTTTTAATGTACAGAAATGGACTGTGGGGAACATTTCTGTACCATTGATGGGACATTAATGCTGTTTGTACCTTTGGGATGTTCCTAGTTTTTCCAGTCACAACTAAAGGTACAAAATTTTACCCTTTTTCTGAGAATGTAGTTGTAAATAGCTTGATAGTAACATAGACAAGCCAACCAAATATGACATCATTTATGTTGGGGGCTGTATAATTAGTTTCTATTAAAATGCATGATTCTAGGTGTCTATGTTTCTATAGGATGCTCTGGTTTAAAAGTGATTTTAAACCAAATGATTCTCATTGACCAAAGAGCTGGAGATCAGAAGGTTGCAAAAGCCGATTAAACAGCTACATTTACTACAGTGTATCATTTAATTATTGTAGGTATTATTGATTGAGTCTGAATTGAGCCTGGACTCTGTGTGTGTGGCTTATTTGTGTGTTTTCCCTGCGTTTATGTGGGTTTCCTGAGAGCTACTCTGGTTTCCTACGGCAGTCAAAACACAAGCTTTTTAGGCGAGACTGTAAACTTGGTTTTAATGTGCAACTCTGTGTGTGTGTGTGTGGGGGTCATGTATATATTACATTGTGGGGAACAAATTTCTCCAGAAAGTGATAAAAACCTGTTATTTTGATGTTTTGTAACTGCAATCAAAAAACTAAAAATGTTGTGTATTTTGTTTGATTGCTTATGGTTAAGGTTAGGGCTGGGTAGGGGTTAAGATTGTCATTTTTAGGATTAGGGTTATGCCCATAGAAATGAATGGAGAGTCTCCATAAGGATGTGAATACAACTCTGCGTGTGTGTGTGTGTGTGTGTGTGTGTGTGTGGCTCTAGATCCCAATGATGACTCGGAATGACATAAGCAGAATGATGGAAGGATGGAGGGATGGATGGATGGGTAAATAATGACAGAATGGAGGTGTGGGCCTCACCCATGTGCGTCATGCCAGGGAGGGGCCCAGGGCTCTGCTGGGACTGGCCCACCAGGTGGTTCACGGCTGGCAGCTTGCCGATGCCCCCGTGGAGTTTGTTCATGTTGGGCATGGGGGAGCCATAGGAGGAGGAGGGGGGGGCGGATACGTGGCTCCTGTCCGAGAAAGAGGGGGTTGGGCTGGGGTGAGCGTTCATACAGTACCGTTCCAAAGTTTGGGAGTGAAATTTCCTTGCTTTTGGAAAAAAAAGTTTTTTGTTCATTAAAATAACATCAGATTGATCAGAAATTCTGTGTAGACATTGTTAATGTTGTAAATGACTATCATAGATGGAATCCATTAAATTTTTTAATGGAATATCTAGCTTCATTAAATAGCACCTGCAAAAGACCAGCCTCAACATCGACAGTGAAGAGGCAACTCCAGGTTGCTGGCATTCTGAGCAGAATTGCAAAGAAAAAGCCGTATCTCAGAATGGCCAATAAAATGAAGAGACTGAGATGGGCAAATAAACACAGACACTGGACACTGGAAGACTGGAAAAAAGTGCTATGGATGGACGGGAAGTTTGAGGTATTGAGACCGCAAAACGTTTGTGAGATGCAGATCAAAAGAAAATTGGCTGGAGGAGGGCTTGACAACATCTATCCAGCATGGTGGAGGCAATGTGATGGTCTGGGGCTGCTTTGGTGGTGGGCAGACAGTACGTTTGGGTGGGTAGTTCCGATGCCCCCCACCCCCCACCCACCCCCGAGCGGTCAGCCGACTCACTGTCTCTGCAGGAGCTGCTGCTGCTGTCTGTAGGACTCCACCAACTGCTGGGGAACCAGCTCCACCAGCTCCAAACTGTCCTTGATCTTCATCAGGATGTCAAAGTTCTCCCGGCCCCGCACCTGCACGGCACACGGGTCGCAGAGGTCATTGGGGCTAACCGTACGCTCGACACCCAACCGGACTTAATATGCCTGCTGCTGTAACTGGATCACAGGAAGTCGATTAGCATTTATCTAATGCATGACCATACCTTGTTATGAATTTATGAATAAGAATGAATGTAATTTTTCTAACAGAGATCAGTGCAAAGCAGAACAGAGTAATGAATATAATTAATCAAGTAACTGCTGTGTGGAAAAAGTAGTTGGTGTAATTAGCTAGTTGGTGTAATTGCTTTGTGAAGTTTAGCAATTAGCATCAGCAGACTTCTTATCTTGTTAGTAGACATTATAAGTGTCGGACAAGCAATCGTGGAGAACTTCTAAGTTTATTCCCTCTTAAAGACAGATTTTATAGTGTCAGTATCAGGTAAATATACAGTCTGATTTCAGAAAATGGAGCATTTCCCATTCAATAATAACGGGGCTGCCAACTTTGGTCAGCTGGCTGGAGTGAGAATTTCAATTCAAGAAAAGTGGTCACTGAGTAGGTCTGTAGGCCAATTCCTTTAGTCTCTTACAGGAATATAGTAGATCTCCTCCTCTCCATGTCGGCGCTTTTTGAAGTTGACAGCAGGTCCTGGAATGGACGCTGGCGTCTGCTTGAAAGCTGCAAACGGGACACAATAGGGGGGAAATTGTTGGTGGTGCAGTGGCTGTGAGTCCAGCAGGGGGTCACTGGGCAGGGTTGCTACTCACTGCGTTTGCTGGTATTGCTGTTCTTGGCCACGTTGTCGTTTAGGGCCTGCTGTTCCCGGAAGTGGTCCTCGTCCGCCTTGCGGTCGCGCCCTGGACATGCACATATCCGGCCCTCGAACGACCTCCGACCCAGGACCTGGCCACTGTGGGCAGATTTAACACACTCATGGCAATTTTACTTACACAAAAATGGTCTTAGGGGAGAATGAAAAATGATTGGTTCAGATTATAGAGGAGGTGGGTCTAAGCAACTAGAGGAGGGATTAACTAATCAGATGCCTTGGGCCCGCCTCCTCTACAATCTGATTGGTTATCTCACTGAACCAATCATTTTTCATTCTGCCCTAAGAACATTTTTGTATAAGGAAAGCTCCCATGAGTATTTAACATGCCATGTAGGGTCTGTGTACATGTGTGTATATATGCGGCGGATGGCTAGAGGCTCTTACTCTCTCATCTCCAGGGTGATGATGATGAGGATAGGTCTCCGGTTCATGCCTCCCACGCAGCTGCTGTTGCACATGAAGTTGTAGAGGATCGTGGTAAACTCTGTGCCCACCTGTCAAAAGTGAACAACTTCACATCACTCTTCACCAAAAGCTGCTCAGTAAAATCCGGTTTCTAAATTCCTGTACAATATCCATCAACATGTCAAAAACCAAGATAAGAAAGGATGTACAACAGCCACAAAATTCTAAGCAGCAATTAGACAAAAAGAACAATCATAACAATAATAATGATTAAAAGTGATTTTGCTCCTTGCTAAACGTCCATTTGATCTGCTGAGATAGCATTCTTTCTCTCCTCATGCTAGTTCAGACACGTTTTACTGGCAGGCCCTGAACTACTGTTAGGTCGTGGCTGGGAGGAAATGCTCAGTATAGATGACGGGAACGTGAACCGGTGTCTCCTGAAATGTCTGTAAGCCAAAGTAGCTGAAGGATCATCTCTGGGAGCAAAATAATCCTACCATGGTGTGGGTGAACACCCGCAGATGAAGCATGTGCCCTTAATCTTCAGATTAAGAGCCCAGGGACAGGTCTATCATTGTTTTCAGGTGTGATCTAAAATTTGCTACGTTAGCGTAGCATGCAACATGGCGGATAACAGCATGAACTTCATTGCCGGAGGGTTGCAAGTTGAAGGAGGGTCTTGCTTGTCATTGTGATAAAATTACACAACTGTAAAACTGTAAGTTGCTTTGGGTAAAGGTGCCAGCTATGTAAAGTAGCGATAATGATAACGTGCGCGTAATGGCAGTCCTTACAGAGAAGGGCAGCGGAGCACGAACCTGCGGAGACTCGTAGGGCACCAGCACGCTCTGCCGGCCTGTGACAGCGTCGTCCACGTACTGGCACAGGTTGTTCCCTTCCACTCGGATGAGGTGACTGGCTGGAGCCACCTGGCCTGGGTAGGGTACAGCGGTAGCGGGAGCCGTTAGGTGGAAGATAACTGCAATTTGCGCCATTTCGTAGAAAAGAAGAATGAGGAAAAATAATATAGCTCATGAAAAGCATCATTACGATGCTGCTTAAACACATATGACACGTTGACTTAGGTCAACAATATACATAAAACACAGAATATGTCTGCTAATAACCTAAATAACAACAATTACACTCATATGTGCAATAAGCAAGACATATTTTGTGCTGACAGTCGGGGGTGTTGGTGGGGGGGTTCCCCCTCAGTAGATTTCGCTGGCTGGGGACTTTGTCAGGGTCGTCACCCTTACGTAGCAATCTGCCTATGCTTGGTTCCGGCCTAGCTGACAGAGTGTTTATAAACTCCCAAAGTTGCCTGTATTGGGGGATAGAATGTGTTCTTCATTAGCTGAAGCTAAAAGCTAAGGCATTAGTGAGAGTGTGCGTCTTTTGGCTCTCGCCAACGCTCTCTGATAGCATAAATCAAATCCTGTTTATCCAGCCTGTTGAGCACAAGATGTCTTTTGCATGCGGTGAAACCGTTGAAGTGTATTCAGGCTGCCTACACACTACGTTTTGAGTTGCTCTCTCCCACGGTTTATTCCAGTCTTTCCCAATCCGGTCCTTAGGACAACACAGACAGTCTACATTTTTGCTTCCTCCCACCTCAGCAAAAACATGGACTGTCTGGTAGGGAGCTGGGAAGGAAGCAAAAACATGGACCGCCTGTGGGTCCCTGAGAATCGGATTGGGAAACACTGGTTTCTTCTAACTGCACCTCCATTGTCTCCATTTGACTGTTGTGAAAGCGGCCATTGCGGGGGGGGGCAGCATGTGCGGCTTGGAGAGACGGTCTCTTACCGTCGTTGAAATCGCGACCCAGCTCATGGTTGGGACACCGTTTCACCACCTCGGTCACGTGCTCCGCCTTCTTGTAGACGGGCATGGCGCGGATGACGCTCCCAGGGGGCGGGGCAGTGGACAGTTTGATCTGGATGGGGCACGTCTTGGCAATCTGGCAGTACAGCTTCTTCAGCAAGGGCGAGTACTGGGGGAGCCAGTCAGAGAGTCACTTTTTGTGCTTGGCGCAGTGCGAATGCCATCGATTTGCATTTCAAGGACAATCAGCTATGAACTATTCTTCACCATTCAACGTGTTTTGAAAGTGATGAGAACTAAACCTGAAAATGCATATCAGCTACTTTTACCTAAGTGAATATTAAATTTCCCTTTACGATTAAGTACTGTAATCAACATGTTACTGCACGCCACCAATCAACTCAAAGCATTACTGAATGCTTGATTTTGATGCAAGAAAATGGTGTCCAAATTAACCTCAAGTTTCTTACTATGACATGTGTCTGCAGATAAAAACTTTTTACTTGTTTTTTCTTTGCAGAAACCTTTATGTGTATATAAAATGCAGAAGTAATAGCAATGCATGTCTCTTCAAACAGCAGCACTATATATTAAAATGATTGTAATACAATTGTAACAAACGTACACAGACACTTTCATTCAGACTGATTAGATAGATGGATGGATGGATGGATGGATGGATAGATAGATAGATAGATAGATAGTAGGAGTGTCATGTATTTATACCGAAAAAATTCGGTTCGGCTCACATACACACCAAACAAAAGCAGGAAATGCGGATCCTTTTCCCGTTTCCGCGTTTCCCCTCAGCAACATTCAGAAAGGGACGGATAAAGGCGCATGTGCGTACATCCCGATAGGGAGCTGGAAGTTGTCAATATTAATGTAACATTGACAACTATAATATATAATATCAGCACAGGTATATTTTTCAATGCTCCATCATAATGGATGTTTGTTTTGTTATACTTTGTATTTTTTGAGACAATATTTGTGTTGCACAGTTGTCATGTAAAGCTGAAAGCCGCTAACGTGAATGCAGTACAGATCAGGTACAGTTAATTTTTAAATGTGCACCTTTTATGTTTTATTTTTATTTATTAAGAGAATATTTATTTTGAGTTACTTTTAAGGAAATTTTAGTTTTCTATTAGTAGATGGCAACAGTATTCACAGAGTCTTTTTATTTGAGAAATACCGTCTTACTTTGTCCAGTAAACCACTGTTTAAAGAAGAAAAAAGAAGCAATTTGTGTTTTGTTTCTTATATCCCCGCTGTACCGAAAACATACCAAACCGTGACTAAAAAACCGAGGTACTTACCGAACCATGATTTTTGTGTACCGTTACACCCCTAATAGATAGATAGATAGGAAGGATGGATTTATTATTAAGATCCTATCAAAAACCACAACAATGAAAGTGAACCACCCTGGTATGCAGCAGGTAAAGACCAAAGGCAAATAAATACATCATTTTTCAGGACAGTATTATAGGCGATTGCTAACACACCCTCATAAAATTACCAGACATAACAAAGCTTTAAGTGGAGCCATGTGATACTGCACTCTTCCTCAAAAGTGGCCTGCAGAATTATGCACAGAAGCAGTGGCAGGTGAAGTATGATCAGGAATGAGCCATTATGTGTATAATTTTATGGGTTTGAAGGCGGAATTCATTCAGCCACATCTCTTCTTCTGAATGTCCCCTAATAACTAGTGCTGGAGCCCAGAGGTTCCATTCCCAAAGCTCCAACAAGTAAACTGAAATGTATGTTTTAAAAACTGACTACATTTGGACTAAAGCTGTACCGCTAAGTGACTTCATCTGAGAAACGACAGTTTTTTTTTTTGCATTCACCCTTAAAGCGCCGCAAGCTTTGAGCCAAACCCCCAGCACTGTTTAAAACAAATAAATATGAACATTTGCATGTATGCAATTCAAATGACCTCAGAAGCCTTAAAATGGGGTAAAGATTAGGGTAAAAAATGGCCATCATTCACGCTGGCGCTCGTCCATCCACTGAAATTCAGATTCACTAAAAGGGGGGGGGGGAGTGCACCATCTTCCCAAAAATGACAAGTTGCAACAAGACTTTATGCAATAAAACAATCTAAAACATTTACCAGAGGGAATCGTACATCGCTCTTCAGAGAGGAAAGATATATGAACATATCAGAATTCAATCAATGTCCTCAGGCAGCTGTGGGACCTCGAGACTCAAAAAAATCTCTGATTATACAAAAATCTCTTATTATATTCATAAGGTAGAATACCTGAATAAAGATTGGTATTACTAAAAGGCAACAATAAGGAATGATTTAGTCTTAAAAACTGAAGCTACCACTTGATTTAACCATGACAATTTGCTGGAATCCATAGAAAAACTATTTTACTAGCTATCAGATTGTTGACATGTTGTGGTTCAAGACATGATTAAAATATGCAGGTGTGAAAATGCATTCTCTTCCCTTACCCCCGACACCCCCTTCCTGAGCCAACATTCCCAGGCAGATGGGGACACGCCCGGCAAACTGTTTTGGTGTGTGGGGGTGGGGGGGGTTGAGGATGGAAGTCGGTTTTCCCGGGAGAAGAGCTCTCACCGTGCTGTGCCCTAACCTCACCTGGATATTACTGATGGGGGGGGGGGGGGGGACTTGTTAGGTTAGGGCTGAGTTGGCAGGTTCAAGAAGAGGCATATTGGGGTTATCACCCCAAAGTAGAGTCAAAAACTGGGTTATCACCCCGAAGACGAGTCAAAGTAGAGTCAAAACTGGGTTATCACCCTGAAAACGAGTCAAAGGGGAGTCAAGGCTGAGATTTCAACCCCAAAGGGGAGTCAACACTGAGTTACCCATTCAAAGAAGAGACATAATTGGAGTAAGACAAGGATTCCCTCAAAAAAGGCACCATCAGCTACAAAGTCCATTTTCACAAAGACTTCATCTGGGTACTCTAGGTTTCCTCCTGACACGTATACATAAGGTATAATTTTTCCTCTGGAGTAATATAATCATGTGACCAGGTGAATGCATGTTTCAGAGCCAAAGTTGGACTCTTATACTGTCCATAGTGTATCCATATAGCTCAAAGAAGTTCAATCCAAGGTCAAGAGTCACTGAACTGAATCCCATGTATCCCAGTGGATATGTCAATGTGGGCTGGTCAGTTTTTCAGTAGAAGCATGCCAAAGGATTCCAGATAAATCTGCATGTCAGCGCGTGCAGCGTTTGAGGAGCTGGTGTCCTTACTGGATGGTAAGTTCAGGTCTACAGCTATTGTTCTTAAGAACAGTTTATGTAATCGAAATTTCTTCAATGCGATAAACCGTCACATAACTAGGGATGCTATAGATAAACAAAAATTAAGAAATAGATCTAATATGCCATGAAACGGGAAATTCCTTTAAAAGCCAAGCCTCTTAAATGCAGAACAGAAATACATGTCAACATCAGCGAGTTAAGATATCCATAACATGGTAATGTTTCCATTTTTCCCATTGCCAAGTTTTTTTGTAATTTAATTTGAACAATACCTCTCCTTTTGGGATCATGAGAGTGGAACAACTAATTGGCAACACGTTCGGACAGAACCATACTTGACAATGGAGGAGAAGAATAAGGTGAATCAATGCAGTGGTATTCTAGGAAGGGCCCAGACTTGCCCATCCAAGACTATACTCACCTCCTTCCATTTCCTACATTTAATTACCTTCTTAATCAAACCAATGCTGGTAATGACAGCCCCCCCCCCCTCCCCCTTGTTCCTGGACCACCTAAGCTTCCCACAGACCGCACACAATGCAGGGTGAGGGGGACCAACGCATGGTCAGCGGCGGGTGAGTGTGAAATGCGGTGGGAAGAGGTGACTGTGGGGGCCAGCTGTGGTAGCATGGAGAAAATCACAGCTGAGCCAGCAGATGGAGAAGTGGTTAAGGTCCAAACAACATAAACGGGGATTAGAACTGCTTGTTCACGTCCACATGGGATATATATAACCCAACATTCTTCTGCTTCTCACAAACCAGCTTCGTAAGGCATATGCAAGTCTTTTTGGGTAGCATGTCTTAAGCAGGCAGATTTTATATATAACGTCAAGAGAAATTGGGGAGATTGTGGAGGTGGTGGTGGGTGTTGGGGGGGCTTACAGACGGGTCTCCTGCGGCTGATCAATGGCCCAGCGCAGGTTTGGACAAGCTAGGAGACACGGAGTGATAATAACATGTCTGTCATCTCCTCCAGCGTGCCGCAGCCTGCCAGCCGCCACTTCGGTTAACAGGACAGATATGTTAGCGCGGGTGGGAGCAGCATTAGCTGCTTCTCCACGCTCCGCGTCGGCCGCCTCACAGTCTGGGGGACTTTGTTCGACGTCTTGATCTGGAAGATTTACTCCTTGCTGGTTGAACCCTCACAGCTCTACACCACAAGCACTGAAACGCCACATTTTATCATTTACAATAATTCTGTCATACAAGTGGAACGACACAGCGTCGCGAAACCCCATATAATAATTCTTAGATCCCTTATCTGAGCTTGATGGCTACTGTGTGAAACATTGCTAACACCTTTACACGTCCATTTTGTCAAGCAGTTTTTTGACGGTGAGCAAATGTTCCTTCATGGATGTGGTCTGACACCAGGGATTTCTTGGCTCAGAATGTCTCAAGACATGGAAATGGATAAATATTCAGTGAAACTTGTATCCTGTCAGAAACAACACACACGGGAAGCAACAGCGTGACCTGAACAGATTATAAAATACACGGCTGTTTATATGCAAAAAATGTCAATATTTGCTGAACATTTACTGCATCAAACCGTAACACCAATGACTGTACTTCTGGCCCAAAGTCCCTGATCTTTGTCTAAATCTTTACTAATCTGCTCTGCTGCAGAACAGCAAGATGTGATGCGGAACAGAGCAAATCTTTGGACCTGGAAAATTAGATCTTAGAGCAGAGGCAGAATTTGTGTTTGTTAAAAAAAAAATAAAAATGGCAGCAGGGGCTGGTCATCCCAGGATAAGGACGGAGGAAGAGTGACTGAGGTGCAGACATGGGAACAACTCAGAATTATTTAGTACTGAGTCCCAGGGGGTACCAAGAGCAGTTGGATTTGAATTTAGGGGGGTGGGGGGGCTTTCTGCGGAGATGGGGGGTGGCTGTGTGGCA